AGATTCCCAAAGCCCTCAATGACTTTCATGTCCCATTACAGAGCTGCTCTGCCTTTGTTAGGCCCACTGGGGTTCTCACTGGGGTTCCAGGCATTTTGTCAAAGGAGAAGAGAGACACAGAGTCTGAAGCAAAGACTTACAGAATCATGGTGACTATAATCATCTGGCTGAGGATGCTGTTGATAACCAGAAAAAGGCAGGTTTTGAATAAAAGTCAGCTCACCTGGATGAGGGTATTAGAAAGGGAAAAAATTGTCTTCAGTGAATTCTCGACCAGACCCACAGGAAAAAGTCCAAAGGAATCAGTGTTAGGAGCAGAATTATTACCAGGCAAGGTTTGTCTTAGACCTTGATCTTCCACGCTTTTCACACTAACCCTGGCCATACCCATCATCTGCTTCCTCTGCCTCTGTAATAGGGTTGCTAAGTGTTGCTGGAAAATCCATGGAAACCTTTTGATTTGATCCACCACAAATTCATGCAGTCTGACTTCAAACAGGCCTTTATTTGCTGCTTAGAATCCCTTTCTGATTCCCTGAAGTTCTCCCCACTGGAATCTGTTCCAAAACTTTGTTACTTTCCTTAAGCACTTGATTTCATTCACCCTCTTCCCCTCCCTCTCTCTCCTATGAACCAAGCAATCAATTAACTCTAGAAATAGCCCAGTGATCAGGTCAAACTTGGAACTGGTTATCATCACAATGACTGATTGGGTCAGAGCTATTTTAGATTAGAGCCACTCCCTTGAACTTGATCGAACAAAAGTCAGCAGACAGAGCCAGCCCATCAGGTGAGAGTGGCCTCAGTTTTTTGCTTTTCAGCTTCTAAATAACTGTTTTGATACGATTCTTAGCCTTCCTAGCAGTTTCACAGCAAGAGGTGTCCCTTCTGCTTTCAAGGCTAATACAGGCAGCTTATGTGATACAGTGGATAAAATGTTGGCCCTGGGGTCAGGAAAACCTGAGTTCAAATTCTCTCTCAGATACTTGTTGATTATGTGACAGGGGCAAGTCACTTAGCTTCAGTTTCCCCATTTGTAAAATGGGGATGATAATAACATCTACCTCCGAGGATCCTTGTGAGGACCTAATGAGATAATATTCGTAAACCTTAAAGCACTATGTAAATTCTAGCTATTATTATTACCTCAGAATTTTTGTCTCCTCCAAAATCTTTTGAAACTTTACTTTTTCAATTATGTCCTCACCTAAGTATGTCCAATCTCTTTCTACACTGGCTCCTTGATTCAAACCTGCATAGCTGTCTCTGTCTGTCTTAGTGTCTCTCTCTCTTTGTCTCTGTCTCTCTCTATATACATATAAAAACACAAACACTCACATATACACATACACATCTCAAAACACTGTACTGGATTTTGCTGTTCCTTCCAGTTATGGTTCTAGTTCATTCCCTTTTGTTGCCAAAGTTCTTGAATGAGTTGCTTATCAAATTGTTGTGGTCTAGGGGTGGTGGGAACCCTGAAATTCAAAGCAAAAGACTATCCTGCTGCGAAAGAATTCGACTCAAGCGTTCTTTCAGTAAGGGACAAAGTTTATTAAAACATTGGTTGGAGTGGGAGAGATTCCTAGTGAGTCTCCGCTATTGGCCAGATTGTAATTTGGTAGAGAGACCAACCTTTTTATAGTGTGGCCAATAGCTTGGGGTGACTGGGACATAACATAAGGGGACTAGATGGAATTGAGGAGTGGCAGCGTCAAAGCCACAATGCAAGGACAGTTGAAAGGATTATATTGGGAAGGGCTGGGAATGCCGGGGACCTGGACCACGTTGGAAAGTCTAGGGCCTTTTAGGTGTCCATCATTAGCACCCCATCAAAACCAATCAATCAAATTTTTTATAAGTTCCTACTAACTGCCAGACACTGTGCTCAGCCCTGATGAAAAAAACACAAAGAATAAAATAATCCCTACCCTCAAAGGGTAATAGAAGAGACAAGTACATATTTTAGTAGAAGATACAAGTACATATTACATATATTGCATAAATATAAAGTTAATACACACAGTACTTTAGTTTCCTCACAACCCATTAACTCCTGTTTAAGGTATCTGCTTTGGTACCTACCACGGCACAGAAACTTCTTTCGAAGGCCACCAGTAAGATTTTATTTGCATATCCAATAACCTCTTTTCAGTTCTCATTCTTCTTGACCTCTCATCAGCATTTGACACAGCTGATTACATTCTTATTGCGACTCTCTTCTTTCCTGGCCTCCGTGACACCACAGTCGTGTGGTGGTTGGTTGAAGAATCCTCGGTCTCCTTTTCCTGGTTCCTCTCCCTATCCCTAAATTGTGGCTATGATTCTGAAATTGGAAAGAGGGGACAGCATTGGCAGCCAAGACCCAGTTTGAGTGGAGGTTTTCTTTATTCATTTCTAATGAGGTATACCTTAAATCTATTGGGTGGTATTCTTCCTTTGCCCCCTCTCCCCACCTCCTTACCCCTAATCCTTGCCTGACTGTTTCAGAAATCTCAGGTTTACTTCTAGACTCTTTTATTATAGTTAGGGACACCCTTTCACAAAGCTTGGATTTTCAAAAAAGTACTTTACTACCAATTAAGGGAAAGGAGATAAATTCAAACAAACCTAGTAGTGATATAAGCATCACAGTTGATGACAAGACCTTTTTATCCTACCTCGAAATACCATGAATTAATTCATAGGCAATGTCTAGATCCATACAACATATAGTAAAAGCCATGGTCATAGGTAAAACCATCAGATTATACTCCTAACTTTTTATTTGATATAAACTCCATAAAGCAGTAGAAGAGGAGACCGTGTGGACTTGAGAAGTCATAATATAAGCTAAAAGATTTGCTAAATGTTATAACAGGGTGCACCTGACTAAATCTCCAGAGACAAAAGGGGATAGAGAGACACATGTGCTTTGACCCATTGCTGAAAAAGCAGCTCCCAATATTATGTCACCTGCAGCCCAGTGGGCACTCCTTTCTCTCTCTCTCTCTTTTTTTTTTGGCTAGGCAATGGGGTTAAGTGACTTGCCCAGGGTTACATAGCTAGTAAGTGTTATGTTTCTGAGGCCAGATTTGAACTCAGATCCTCCTGAATCCAGAGCCGATGCTCTATCCACTGTACCACCTAGCTGCCCTTGGGCACCCCTTTCTCACAAGGAGCTTTTGCTTGACTTACTCAATTAGGATTCAGTATTAGGGAGCATAACTCCAAAGAGAGGGAGGCAGAATTTTCTCCATTTTTTCTAACTCATTATGCTCCTTCTTGAGTTATTCCACTCAAAGTGGCCCATTCCCCTCATTATGCTCATTACAATTGCTATCCAGATTCTACCCATCTTTTAATGCATAGCTTTAGGCTCACCTTTTCCATGATGCCTTTTCAGAACACCCTAGACCATAATGAGCTCTCTTTTCTCTGAACTTTAATAGAACTTATAATCAGTGTTTTGTGATATCTCTTGTATTTTTCCATAAAAACATCATCTGGCAACACAGATTCATTGAAAAATATTGATCTGGGCATGGGGGGGGGGTGCCGGGAAATTCTAGCTCGGATTCATAGTTGAGAAGTTTATGAAGAGGCACTGTAGCATGATATTAGGTACCTGTCAGACTCCCAGGGTTTGCATGGTCCAGCTACATACTGTTGGGGGAGGTGCTTCCCTGGCTGCCTGCAGCACTTGGCGTCCTTCAGATCAGTGGGTGGGATTGTTCCAAGAGAACCAGAGACAGCTTTGAAACTACAGGCTGTAGACATGCAGCTTGCTCAATCAGGAAAGGATGGAGGAAAGAGGGCCACAGGAAGGAATCTTTATTCTGGGACATATTCCCGGGAGTTCCCATCTTTCCTGACAAAATTACTGGCAATTAATCCTGACATTTACATGGCACTTTATGGCTTTTAGAATTCTTTCAAACATCATCTCCTTGGAATTTATGAATTCTTTTTGGTTAACAAAGGTATTACTATACTGTGGTCTGGTACTGTTACTTAACTCTCTGGCAATTATTTACCTTCATACGTGGGCATGTTTTGTTTGCCCAACTAGATCAAACTCCTTGAGGGCATGGACAGTACATTGTAGCTCTTCTGGAACAATAATCACAGCATGAGAAGTAGGAAGGGAGGCACGGTAGAGTCCAACCATTCTGTAGGGGACAGAGGGCTAACCTGAAACCAGTTCCACTTCTAAAACTTACTATCTATGGCATCCTGAATCATTTAGTATCTCAGTGCTCTTGCATCTGAGGCTTTAAGTTACAAAGCCAATTTGCACTGAGAGGGACTTTCTTCACCTGCAAGTTTCTATACCAATGAAATCCTAGGTTTAGTCTCTATTGAACAATGCTATCCACTTTTACAGTCCCTTATGGTTTAAAATCAGTTTTGGATAGTGTCACACAGAATCAGAGATTTACAGCTGGAAGTCAAGTCAACAAGCAATTATTAATAGAAGGGAACTTAGAGGCCATCCAGTCCATACCTTCCATTTTACGTAAGGAATTGACAGCAAGGAGGATAAGTGAATTCCTTGAGGTCACACACAGGTAAATGAGCGGAGCGGGGATTCCAGCGCAGGTGCTCTAATGTCAGTTCTAGCACTCTGTTCCCTCTTCTAAGCTGTCTTTTTCTACGGCAGGTTCTTCATAAATATTTATTGAAAGAAAGAGTTTTTCTGCTTTTGGTGTCAGAGTTGTTATTCTCTTCATACTTTCAATTGGTCAGCTTTGGGATCAACACAACCCTGCTTTGCAAGAAGCCTGGCCAGGGGTGGGGATGGTGGGATAACGCATCACTATCTTGTCCTTCTGGGGGTAAAACTATTCATCCTTCTTTTCATCCATCTTTCCTTCTTTCCAGTCTTCCCTTCCTTTTCTAGCTTCCTCTTCCAAGGACGCGGTCCCTTTAAACACCTGGAAAAGGGCCTCGGGTTCGCTGGAAAGGACACGCCCCCATACCCCACACATCCCTCTCCCCGCCCCCGGGGAGGAGGGGCGGGACAACTCTTTCCTTTCGTCATTTCCGGCTCCCTGTCACTCCCGAACTAACAGCAGAGTGAACAGCCGCAGGAACGGAGCGTGAGTCATCGAGGCCGGCGCCTCCTGCCCTCCCCTCCCCTCCCTCTCTTCCCTTCTCTTCCCTCGGCCGATCGCGCCGCTCCGGGGCCCCATCCAAGGCCGGGGGACCTCGGCGCCGCCGGAGCCCGTGCTCTCGGTGGGCCGAGCGGCCGCTTCGGGCCCCGGGGCGGGAAATGGGGGAGTCCCTGACCTTCTCGCGGCTCCCACCCTCGGGAGGCGGACCCCACGCCCCGCGCCCCCGGGCCAGTCGAGGAGGAGGCGGCGGCAGCAGCAGCAGCAGCGGGCGCCTCCGGGGGCGGGCCCCGCTGCCGAACCCTCGGCTCTTGGAAAGAAGCCTGGGCCCCCGAGGGTGGCTGCGGAGGGGGCGGGGGCCGGGCCGGGGCTGCGGCGCGCTGCGCCCGGGGCATGGAGCATGCGGCGGCCAGGCCACCTGGGCTGCCTCCCGGTGTCCTTGGCTGGCGCCGCGGGCTCGGGCTGGGCTGCAGCGGGCGGGGGGGGGGG